ACAAAAAGAAAAGAATTATATTACTTCTTTCATTTATTTTTATAAGAAATAACTAACAAAATCACACAGTTCAAAATATTAGTTAAATTTAGTTAAAAATAATAAATATATATGTAATATATATATTCTAATTATACCCTTGCTTATAAAGGGGCACATGAGAGATAATGAGTGAAAATTTATCACAGAGAGCATCTATTTTTAAAGAGAGTGAAAACGAAAAAAGCTAATTTAAAATTTTAGATGGAAAAAAATTTATTTTATACTTAAAAGTAAAAGAAATTGTTGCTTATAACAAGAAACATACGGAGTGTATTTTATATATAACTTTCAGCTAATAATTTTATCACAAATTAAAATGTTGAGTGTAAAGAAATTTATTTGCATAATATCCACACAAAGAAGTCGGAAATTTTTTTTTTGGGAAAAAAACTCACAAGTCACTTTAATTATTTATCCATATATTTTCTTTTCATTATTGTTTAGTAATTTTCAAGAAACTATTCTTCATATAACTGAAATTTTTTATCCTGAAATTTTGCACGTGAACCCAATTAACTACTAGTTGTCTCAGCAGCAATACCATCTTATACTTTAATAAAGTTTTAGCTCAGATATGATATTGATATATTTATATACGTGTGTATATTTAAATTGTATTAAAAAAAATACTAAATAGACTTGTCGTCGAAATAAAATATCTTGCTTTCAAGTCTTGTGGGCAATTTGTTTGATCGACCATGTGCGGTTATGCCGCCTGGCGCAAATTCCTTTGATAACTACGTACGTCAATTTGGACTTTTCTCTAAATATCAAGCAATTATTTGTAATTTTAAAATCATTGGTTAAAATTAAAAGGATAAATTGTCTCATTATTAAATATACACTCTTAATTAATTTTATCTCTTTAATTTATAATGTTTTTTCAAACCCTCTTTATTATTTGTACATATTAAAAGAATTTTACATCAATAGAGTAGTTTTTAAGACAAATGATTAAAAAGAATATTTTAGAAAATTAATATTAGTACACATTTTGCATAAATAATAAATAATTTTTTAATTTTTATAAATTAATTATTTAGCTCATATATATGGAGGACAAAACGACTAATTAAAATGTGAGCATGTGCTTTATGTAGTGGTTAAGGAGACTAAATACCTCTCCGGTCAAAAAAGGAGACTAAATACCTTACGAATTTGGACGCAATCAATGAATTATCAATCAATTGGTTATATAAAAGAAAAAATGAGCTGACTATCCATATATTGGCAAGAGTACAGCTTTATATCACGTACCGCAATATAGATATGTGGATATTATGTGAAGTTCAATTATATATATGCATTAAAAATCAGTTTCCTTTTTTGGCCAAAAAAAGCCTTAAATTCTAACTTTAATTTGCCTTCTCTCTTTTCTCACTCAGGACTATAAATAACTTATAAATATATTTTTCTTTATTTGCCAACTTGCAGAGTATAGAAAAAATCCCAAAAAAAATTCTTAAAATTTCAAAAAGATATAAATCAGTGACTCTAATTTTAATAATTTCATATCGGCTCACGTGCATTAAAATGGAACTTAAAAATGTTACGTTTTTTTTTATCACAGTGCCCTCTTTTTTTTTTTTTGAAAAAAAAAGCCAACCGAACACTCTTTATATAACCGACGTTAAAACAATTTGCCACAATGGTTATTAATAAAACTGCCATGGAAAGATCAATTTTCCACGACGGTTTTTTAAAGAACTATCGTGGAAAGTAAAGTTTAAACGGCAGTTTTATTAATAACTACCGTGAAAAGTTAATTTTCTATGACGGTTTTTACAGAACTGTCGTGGAAAATCTTACAACCACTGTGTTTTATTTACATTTCAACATGATTGTATCCACTTCGCTCCAAAACCTGTCATGAAAAACCCTTGATAACCGTTGTTAAAAGCCTTTTTTCTGGTAGTGATCATATTCTTGCACTAAAAAAATCTACGCATCATATATATAAAGTATTAATAAAGAGGATAACATGAGGACTAGTGAAGGGAGGGATAATACAAGGGCTGATGCAAAGCAGGGAACGAATTAAAATTTCGACAATATTTAATTGTAAAGAAAAGAATTAAATTTAAGAAGGTAGTTGTGACTGACTGACGGTTGAAACGAATGAAAAGCAACAGGTGGATATCCGAGAGATGCCAAGGTTGAAGGCACGACTAAGTCAATTTAGATTTTTTTTAATAATATATATGAAGCAATTATTTGTATGATTGGAGTGGATAAAAAGGGAAGAATAAATTACATTACATCTTGTCCTTAATATAAGAGTTAGACAACTAATTTATAAATATTAAAAAATTAATTAAGTTAGTTATTTATAATAAATAAATATTAAATTTTTTAAAATATTGTTATTAATCTGCATTAGAATATAAATACTTTAACATGTGTAATTATCATAGAGACTATTTAAAAAAATATATATAAAAAGTAAAGTAGATTAAAGTCTTATATTTAGAATAAAAAAATAAATTAGATTCCGTTGTGACATGTGAGCATACTAAAGTGATATGTCAATATTATATGATGATGACGATGCAGACCAATGTTCATGGGAAGACTCGCCGATGATGGATATGGATAAGCCGGGAGTAAAATGTCCTCCTGGTTCTGTCATAATACTCATTGCCGTTCCAGCATCAAACCCTATTCCAAAAGCTCCATGTGGTCTTAATTCCGGTCTTTTTTCAAATAAGTTGCCGTCTTGTTTCTGATGTCACCCATCATATGACCCAATTGACTAATTGAGAGAGATTAAGAAAATTACTAAATTACTTTAAAATATTTATATTTATAGTTTTTTTTTCAATTAATTCGTCTCATTTATAACAACAATAACAAAGCCTTATCCTACTAGGTGGGGTCAGCTATATGGATCGCTCAACGTCATGGAGCCTTATCCAAAGCCAAATATTTGGATAGATTGTTAATTGAAAGATCTCTCTCATAACTTTATTAAGCGTTGTCTTTGGCCTTCCTCTACTCTTTTTTAGAGGACTCCATACTGTTTGCGCAACTCTTCTTACCAGCACATCCCAAGGCCTTCTATGCACGTGACCAAACCATCTCAATCGTTTTTCTATCATTTTCTCATCAATAGCAGCCACTCCAACTTTTCCTCTTATATGTTTATTACGGATATTGTCTTTTCTTGTATGACCACACATCCATCTCAACATGCTCATCTCAGCAACTGCCACTTTATGTTCATGATGTTGTCCCTTTAAAGCAATTTGTCTCACTTATAAATTGATATATGACCTAATAATACACATAAATGTGTTAGAAAGATCATACAATATATGCTATAATTAAATAATTTTGTAACTTCTTTAATCTCCTCAAATTAGTCAACTAGGTTTTATATTAAGAATTGGAGGCAGTACCTTTCTAGAGCTGCCTAAATAAGTCATACATATGTGTTTGCAGCTTTTAATGATTATTTTTGTTATGAAGAATAATGTCTTACTACCTTGATTTCATGGGAAGTCCAGGTAAAGATTGCTCATGAATTCTATATAATTTTGAGTGTACGTGAGACATATATAATTCTTAAGTTTATGTGCTGGTGTTGTACTTGAAATAAAGAACAGGCCTCCTGGCTTCTTTATTAATTAATTTATTAATCAATCAATACAGTTACTTCTCTGCGGGTAATTTTTCTTTTGTTTTGGCAAAGACGATGAAAGGTGGTAGTGGAGATCTGCGGGGGAATTGAAGAGAGGTAGGGCCAGGCGGGATATTTCTGAGTCTTCTTGATGCAGATTTAATTAATTAATTTTCTTTTGTTAGTTATTTATTTTGTTAACTACCCACTAACCCATTTATTGATTTTGCATTTTAATTATTTTATTTAAAATTAGGTTATAAATACCCTAGGTTTCTATCGTGTAAGGAGACTTGGCTTTTGACGCATCATATAGTTTTTTTCCATTCCCGTTCTCTTCTTTACTCTTCCTTTCTCTTTAATATTCTTCTCTGATCTCCTTCTCTTCTCCTTTTTCTTTTCTGTTTTACATCACTTCTTTTTCTGAGAAAGAGGTTAAGGGTGAGGAAGAAGACAAGGCAAAGGATTGAATAATTGATAATGGAATTGTGGACATATTTTTGCTTCATACTTTGATAATTCATGTGCTTTTCTTTAAAGGGACATGTGGGACAGATGGATTTTATTATATTTTGTTTTCTCTTGTCTAAAGTCAACTGTGCTGAGTCACATAAGATCACTTCAAAATATAACTTTCTCCATTAGAATAACTTCTTGTATTATTTTAAAATATTTAATTATTATTAAAATATATAAAATATTTAATAAGACTAAAATAACAACAGACGAGTGTATATTGATATTGGCAATTTCTTAAAAATATACTTATATTTTGGTCTTATCCTTTGCCAATATAATTTAGTCTTTATTTATAAGTCAACTTTTAGAAATCTTTCATGGTTTTTTTGATAAGCCACATGGGAACTGACCAAGGGGTTCTAATTTGAAATTTTTAACTAATAATTTTTAAATAAAATATGCAAAGGGAGATATTTTGAAGTGTGCTGATATGCTTGGACGAGAAGCCCACATGGGAACTGACCAAGGGGTTCTAATCTACTAACCCAGACTTGTCAAGCAGAGGTGCTTATAGATCAGAAGAGGAGGATGGAGGAGAATCTTACTCCTCATAACTGATTTATTTTGACGTTTCTCAGGCTTCAGCTTGCCTGTTTGTAGTAATTGAAAAAAAAAAAAAGGGGGTAAAGATATAATAATTTTAACCCTGATCTTATTTCTCATGTGTAATTTTAAAGATATTTTGGGATTTTCTCACAATTTCTTTGCTTTTGATTTTTATTTTTCGGTAGAGTAGAGACTATAAATAAGTGATAGAGCAGCGAAGTGTGAGCATACAAAATTACTGGAGTGCATTGTGCCCTCTCTTTGACTCTCTACAATCTCACAATGAAGAAGGCTATTCTCATTGCTTTTATTATTCTGGTTTCCGTATTTCTCTGCCTTCCCTCTTCCACTCATGCTCGAGCATTATCAGGTAACAACGTAACTTCTTCCTTTAAATTTGCAGCTTCTTATCCTTTTCCCAATCTCATTTACTGTGACTCTCTTGTATTGCCTTGATTAAGATTTATTTTGCCAAGATATACATATGATATGATGATAATATGCAGAAAGGGTAGAGTCAGTTACTGGGGGAGCACCAATAAGAAATAAGCCAGCAGTTCCATGTTCTCCTAGTAGAAGATATACTTCTTGCATGCCAAAGACGAAGCCTCCGAGCCCTCCATGCTCAATCTATGTCCGAGGCTGTCCACCACCTGGGAATTAGATATAATAACAATAAGTAATTAGATATGATGATAATTATGTTTCTTATATTTTGTAGCTAGCAGGGAACGTATGTAATAATTGTATTTAAAACTTTTAGGTACTGTTTAATTTCTGGGTTGTGTGTATATGTTTGTTGCAGCTTTTGATTTCACTTGTCTCTTTTGAAGAATAACATCTCTATTCCCGACTTGGCTTTCTCTGCAGGAAGTACGGTTGTATTTCGCTTACAGTCCGTTTGGTTCTCTGAATCGGAGAACATGGAATGATTACGAGAATTTGTTTGGTATATAATTAAGAAAAAATGATGCACAGGCATTTTAGTTGAATTACAGCCAACATGGGAATAGATAAGAATAATAAACGAAGAGACAAAATCATCCGATCAATATATATATATAATATGAATGTTTTTTTTGCCAAAATATGCAATAACTCTGTTCATATAAATAATAAATTAGTTGACAAAATTAATCTAACCCATATATGCAATGAAAAAGTGAACTTTTTATCAATTGAAATTGTGTTTATACATATAATATAATAACAAGTAATTATATATAATATTATAAAAATATAATAATATATAATATAATAACAAGTATAATGGAACTAAGGGATAATGAAATTTTTATTAATTAAAATTGCGTCTAAACTTTAAATGTGTGTATTAATAATCAGTTTAATTTCTATATAAACGGAAGCTTTTTTTTTTTTTAACCAGCATATATAAACCGAAGCTAAGCCAATAAATGACCGATAGGTTTATGAATCTTTCACCAAAGGCACTTTGATCAATTTAAAAAGGGAAAATTTTCAGTTAGTCCCTTCTAAATAATTTGTTTTCCAACAACCCCCATAACATTCTAAAACTTCATTGCACTTTCTTTGACCAAAATGAAATTAAATGTTATGGATGAAAAGACAATTATGCCTTATATTATTTCGGAAAAAAAAAATCAATCACCACCAAAGCTCTGGTGGCCAGCTAGCTGACTCCAACTTCCAGCACCGAGGCCGATTGCCAGAGCTCTAGTGACTGGAAATTTTTTTTCAAATAAGGTCATTAGAGAATTTGAACTCACGACTTCTTGATAAACCAAAAAAATTATAACTACCAAGCCATTCATTATTTAACCCCGTAATGCAAAGGAAATATATAGATTTTTATATATATGACAAAAACAAATTTAAGTATCCCAGTAAAATAAGATGATTTACAATACAAATTAGGTAATTTACAAAAAGCATATAGGAATTCACAACTCTATTTGAGGTTTTATGAAAAGAAAATTAAATGCCAAGGATTGAATGAACCACTGGAATAAGGCTTTACAATATAAATTAGGCAAGTTACAAAGGGTATGTGGCAATTCATGAATCCATTTAAGGATTGCATGAACATCTGAAATAAGAAAACTTATAAGACAAATTACGCAATTTATAAGAACTATATAAGAATACACAACTCCATTTGAGGTTCTATAGAGAGAAAAATTAAATGTCAATGATTGGATGAACAACTCAAATAAGATGATTTACAACACAAATTAAACTATTTAGAAAGATTTAAGAGAGATGCTGGTAAATGAAAAGACTCCCACAACTTGGCCAATATTTGATTGTAAATGAAAGGAATTCAGGAATGGTGGGTGTGACTGTTGAAAATGATAGAAGGCAGTGAGTGCATGGGAGGGGCCAATGTTGAAGATAAGGTACGACCAAGTCAAGTCAGATTTTTACTTTTAAGTAAAATATTCTGACCACTCTTCTGTTTTGCTTTAATTACACAGATCTTCCATCTATTTTGATAACATATATTTTAGTCCAAACCATTAATATCATTAAGGAATATTCTAATAAGATTCTTTACGTACATTTTTTAATTAAAAAAATATTAGAATAAACCTTGTTTCCTACTTTACCCCTCATTATATTAAATATATGGTTTATCTTTTAATATTAATATTTATTAATAATCTATTTAATATTTTTACTAAATTTAACAAATTAAGACATAACTTTATAATTTTATTGAAAATAAATATATACGATTACAAGACACTTTTTACTAATATATATTTAAAAAAATTACATCACAAGTAAGTTTAAATAAATAAACAAGATTTATTGTAAAATAAAAATCTGTATTTATAAAATTAATAAAATTTATAATATGGTAATCAATTCAATAGTATAACAAAAAATATTAAAATATTTATTAAAATTATTTTTTAATTTTAAATATAGATGTATGATATGTCACTAAATGATAATTATTAGTAATTAAGAAGGGGTAATTTGGTCAAAATAATGGATCAAATCCTATGATTTAACGGTTAACTAACGGATTGGTGGATAGGAGTTGAATCTCAAAAGTAGAAAAGAAGTTTGTGCAATAGATATTTTGATTTTAAAGAAGGTCCATATAAGTTTTAAAATAAAAATGAGGTCTTTGTAATTTAGGTTAAATAGAGGGGAGTTGATGTATTTTACTTTTTACTCTTTAATATAAATAAATATATATTATGACTTTTTAATATAAATATATATAAAGCAATAATTTGTACGATACTATGATCGGATTAAAATGAAAGAAGAAATTGCTTGGATCGCAAATTAGCCAGCGAATGACGTTTAAAACAACGGTTTAATAACAATTAGGTCCCCAAAAAGTGTTTTTAAAAATAAGATACAGATATCTATTTATTTAGTTAATTGTCAGAGCTAAGAAATAGGCAGGCCTGGCCCATATATATGGGATCAGGTCCAGAAGCCATGGTGCCGCAAATATAACCATTTTCTGATACCCAATCTTTATTATTGATCCAGCACTGGCTCCGAGATGCTTTTCTTAATTTATTTTTATTTTTATTTTTTTAAAAAACTAAGTTTCACATTAAAATGTTCTGAAGTTTAAAACGAGTTATACAAATCCAAGGTTTTAAGTATAATCACATATTCTAATAAAATCTAAATTTTAGTCCGGAAATATAAATATTCCTTAGTTCTCATCCTGGTTATTCAAATAATAATTTAATTTAGCCCTAGTGAGTAGCAACTAGTTACAAGGAATTAGGATGTCGCAAGGGGTGATGCAAGCTAGGGGATAAATTAAGATTTGGACAACATTTTTTATTGTAAATGAAACAAATCAAATTTAGGAAGTGTGGTTGTGACTGTGCAAAAGGATAAAAGCAATCGGTGGGTGGGAGAAACCAATATGTTGAAGAGCATATAATACAAATCAATTATACTTATTTGTACCAGCTGAAAGCCCTTTATTATTTGTTTCTCTGGCCAAAAAAAAAACAGAAAGCCCTTTATTTCAATTGTGCTCCTCTCTCGTAGGCCTCTATAAATAGAGGGGAAGGTTAAGTGTAGTGCAAGCATATACAAAAGCCAAATTAAAGGAGTTATATGCGTGTGCGTGGCTGTAAATATGAAGAAGGCTATTCTAGTTTCTTTTCTCATCTGGGTTTCTACATTATTTCTCTTCCTTTCCTCTTCCACTCAAGCACGTCTATTACTTGGTAACAACTTCAACTTGATTTGTTTTGCTTCTTTATGTTTTTCCCCTATCTCATTTACTATATGTGACTAAATTGCCTCAATTATGAAATTATTGTACTCCTCCTGTCCTAAATATAGAAGCTAATTAGAGAGTTGACTTTAATAATATATGTAAGAGCTTAATCAATTTCATCTCTCATATTTATGATTTTTTTTAAGTTGATTTATCTTACTTATGAATTGACATGTCATCTAATATTTTATGAGATCAGTATTTTAAGGAAATCAAGTCACATTTGTTAGAATTAATTTATTTAACTCTCTTAATTTATCTAAAGTAGTTAAAAAGTTTTTGCATTAAAGATAAGATAAGTATTAATTAATTATTGGGTTAATACAACTTTTAGCTTTTAAAAATTTGACTTTATTTTATTTTTGGTCCCTCAAATTTAGAACAAATAACTTTTGTACCTGAAATTTACTGCACCTATAAATATTAGCCCCTATAAGTTTAACAGTGGAGTAAGATGAGTTGGCATTCTTGTTGCACAGTGTAAGTAAGATGAGTTGGTATTCTTGTAGCTTATATGGCAAAAAGATTGATAAGAAATGTTGCTGCTCTCCTTTTGCTTTGCGTTTCGAAGCCTTTTCTTTTGTTTTCCCCATATATCCACATAAACTACAAGTGTCAGCTCATCTTACCCAATCATCACCACATCATCAAAATTAATGATGTTTGTGCCAAATCAGCAATATTTAACACAATTTAAACTCACTTGGATTAACATTTACGAACGGAGTAAATTTTAAGAACCAAAACTAATTTCAAATTTTAAGGACTAAAATAAAAATGATATCAAATTTCATGAATTAAAAATTGTATTAATAACCTTTGATTATTTTTCGTTGTGACATGTGAACATATTATTAAAAATTGATATGTTACATTGATATGTGTATGTAAATATTATATATATGATGACAATGCAGAAAGGGCATGGCTAACCTCGCTAGCGACGTATAGGAATAGGTCTGTTGAAAAATGTCCTCCTGGTTTTCGTAATCCTCAGTGCCTTGTTCCATCAATCCCAATTCCAAAAGCTCCGTGCGATTACTATAGCCGTGATTGTACGAAGAAGGAAAAGAAATATGTGAATGATACATATTTAGTAGTATTAGTAATACTCCTCTGGTTTTAAATATAAATCAATTTTGTAATGTAATACTCCTCTAATTTTAAATATAAGACCCACTTTGTAGTTTTAGGAGCATTATAAGTAAATAAATTGCTGTCCTGTTTCTGTGCCAAGTGTGTTTACGGGTGCCTTGTGACAGCTTTTCATTATCATTTCACTTTTAAAGAATAATGTCTTCCCGCCTAGATTTCATGGGAAGTCGAGGTTAACGTTGCCCATGAATTCCATGCACTTGTAAGTATGAAAAATATCATCTCCATTCTAATTATAAGATTCCATTTATATTTTACAAATAAAATCTTATAATTAAGACCGAAAGTAGTATATAAGTATATGCAGAAATGACAGGGGTAGCTTCTCCAACCACGGATAAGAAATATATGAATGATACGTCTAAAGTATATGCAGATAATAATATAAATATAGTCCTTTTGCTTGGAAGGACCATTATTAAATAAATTGCTGTCTTCTTTCTAATATCTTCTATAGCTTCCTATTAAT